AAAAAATTATCTTATAATCAGATATATGAACAAAAATAAAAATAATTGTAAATAGACTCGCGTTATATAAAAGAGTATGACGTGGCTAGTCTCACTTTATAACAACTTTAAATAGCAAGAGGGCGTTCGACCGCACGCAACCAAAACGTAGAAAACGGGAAGAGGCGCGCGGAGTCGCGAGTACTCTGCAGTTTATTCATTCATATAATCCGTTGAGATCTCGGACTTGTTCTTCTCAAGATAGCGACAGCCAGGGTTGAAGCACTTTCTGAGAGAAATTTTTTTTTTTTTTTATCGAGAATATGACTTCTTTTTGGTTGAATCGTCGTCTCTACGGTGCTGATTCGGCGTCCGGGAGTGCAATCTTGAGGCTACGGAACAAGCGAAAGGTATTGAGTTGATTTATCTTCTCTTTTTACAATAACCTAGGGTTTCTTTTTTTTCTTTTTTTCTTTTTTTTCTTAGTCGAAATTTGCATGCAATAAGGAATTGGAGAAATATGTTGGTGGAATCGGACTAATCGGAGGTGATAGAGGGAATCAAACAATTTTGTGGTTTGATGGACTTAGGGTTTTTTTTTTCCTCCGTTGAAATTTGCATGCAATAAGGAATTAGAGAAATATGTTGGTGGAATTGGACTAATCGGAGGTGTAGAGGGAATCAAACAATTCTGTGGTTTGATGGACTATGGAAGAAATTGATTAATTTCATTAATTTATTGCATGTTGGGAAAGTTTTATTGATTTTTTTTATTGAGTTATTTTTTTGATCGAACGAAGTGACTGATTCTATTTTGGATCTAGAGTTCTTCTGAAAGATGGAATCGATGATTTAATAGATCTTAAAACACCATAATCTCTGAATTTTAAAGGATTAGATGCTTGATCACTGAATCATATTATGAATGGGTTCTTTTTTTCTTTTTTTTTTAATGAAATTAGTGCCTAATTTTTAGAATTTTCTCGGAATCAAAAGTCCTGTATTTGCATTTTTTTTTTCAGCTAGATTGGTTTTTCTTACTATGTTGAATGCAGGCTTTTAACTATTTGTGAACTGAATTAATTTAATTTATTTAAATATTTTGGAAGCAATCAGGGTCGTAATTGGAAATTTGAGTTCAATGATTGAGCTTGAAAACTTTAGAATTTTTAGCTAGCTTGGAATTGCAACTTCATTTGAGTCTTCACTTGAGTTTTACTTGTCAAACAAGATATTTGAATTCAAGTTCAAGTGTGGAATTTTAGTAAAATCTTTTAATATGAACAAGTTGATCTCAAACATAGCTTGAACTTGAAAGCAAGTTTGTTTACATAAAATGAATATGTTACAGGCCGAAAAGAAGAAAAAAAAGAAGAAGAATTATATCAACCCTTGAGCATAGCTTGTTTATTTTATCGGATGGATTGCAAGCTTGATATTTGCCCATCATGAGAGGCTCAGCTCATTTTCACCCAAGAGCAGATATCTCCACTCAAATTCTAGATGCTCTGTATGCATTTTAAGAAGTTAATATGGACTGCTGTTTGGGTTTGGATTCGGGGATTTGTGGTTACAAGGGTTCAAAATGTTTCAGGGATGAATGGTTTTAAACAAAGTAGAGTAGGCAAGAAGGGGAGGCAGTGACAAAATGAAGGGGAGGCAGTGACAAAATGTTGGGGTTGCCCCATGGTGGGGTAAATCCTCTCAATCTTAGAGAGATTTCTCATTTCAAGAGAGAGCCTAGTTGTTGTTTGTTGTTTAATATAGATTATTGTTATGGTCATTGAACAAGTAGGCTAATAGTAATCTTCTTTTCTGAAATAATTGTTCTAGAATTGAGTGAGTGGAAATGGGTGGCAATAATGTTTGTATTATACTTTAAATATTTGTGTTATACTCTATGATGTTATTACTGTTTTTTTCACGAGGTAAAACATGTACACCCACAAACAACTTTAATGACAGTTTTAACTATTTTGTGTTCAATTGTCTGGGCAGAGAAAGTCTGCAATGAAAAATCTGAAGGGTGGCTTCCGAAGGCTGAAAGCTGAGATGCAGGAGATCAGTAAGGAGCAACAAAGCATCAAGGAAGGACAAAAACAAGTCAGAGAAAAACTTGAAGCCATTGAAGCTGAATGTGCACAACTCAGGAAGGATACGGACCTCATGATCAGGCAGAGTGCTGC